AAAAATGCATCTACCATATCTAGCACTGATGATAATAATGTCAATTTAGCATTGTCAAAAGTACAGAGAAAGTAGCCTGGCTGTCATGGCTCAATGTTTGAGCATCAACCTATGAACCAGAAGGTCATAGTTCAATTTCCAGTAATGGCATATGCCCATAGCCAGTATGGGGCATGCAGGAGGCAATCAATCAATGATTCTCTCTCATTATTAATGTTTCTCTCTTCCTTCCTCTCTGAAACCAATAAAAAAAATTACATATTTTTTAAATACATTGCTTTAAAAAATAGTACAGAGAAATTAATTACATAATTTATATTTCCACAAATTTGCTCATTAATTTTGTTTCATTTAACATTTTTAAGTATGCACTAAGTTATACTTTTGCTGACTAATGATAAATAAAAAAAAGAACTTGATCCTACAGTGAGAAACAGGATATGCATAAAGAACGGGACTGACACAGAGATGCAATCGGTTCCCCTGGAGGAAATGAAAATCTTGGTAGGGGGAATATCCTACATATGAAAACAAGTAAGAAAGAATCTTAAAATGCTAGAATGTTCTTATCTCTCCAGAGAACATAAGGAACTGATTCTATTGATATTCCCACCCTGGTCAGCCTTTTCCTCCGCACCAACCAGGTGTGTGGGGGCTGATGCTTAACATATATGAGACCATTAGATACAGCCTCCAGCTGTTAGCTGGAACTAAGCCATAAAATTGGAATCCCAAAAGGGTAACATTGTCCACAAAATGAGAAACAACAAAAAACAACCTAAATCTCTTTGAACATTGGTGCAAGAAAGCAACAAAGAAGCATATAAAGACTGCTCCCAGTGGACGGGAAAGGAAGAAAATTTGATCTGATTAAAAATTATCTATATAGGCAGTCCTCAGATTACATTGCACTCAACGTGCATCGTTTCGTGGTTACAATGCCATTTCCCATTTATTTATTAAAAAATAAAAAATTTCCATCATTTCAACATCCCTCTCACATATATATGTATGTGCTTTATGTTTTTTATTATTTATTTACCACAAGTAAAGGTCAACAATTGTTATCTTTCTTTTAATTTTTTTTTTTTTTACTGTTTCACTTCATTACTGCGGTGTATGTGCTCCATGTGAGTGACTAAGTGCTTATGTAGGTGGGTTCCGACTAAATCACATTACTTTGCATTGTAGGATCTCCAGCATAACCTGAGGATCTACTGTATATATAAAACCCTAATATGCAAATAAACCAAACAGTGGAACAACCAAACAACCAGTCACTATGATGTGCACTGACCACAGGGGGCATGTGTGGGACATGGTGAGCATTGGCAGCAGCAGGATGGTAGAACAGGTGAGCAGGGGCACCAGACCAAGGTTGAGCACCTATCGCTGTCATTGGGGCAAGCTCTGGTGGTTACTGAAAATTCTTTGCTCCTATGTGCGTGGTTCCACCGGACACCTGCTGCCAGCACCAGAGGTATTGCTAGTACCCACTGGCAGCACCCAGCGCCTGGAGCCAGTCCCAATCGCTGGGTGCCAAGAGCAGGTACTGGCCACAATTGACCTTGATGGCTTCTCCACCTTCCCTTACTCCTGAGGGACAGTTAGGGCAGCAGCTACTGCTCATACCCACTGATGGCGCCAGTCCCACTCGCAGCTGCTGCTGGTGCTGGCCTCAATCGCTATGTGCCTTCAGCAAGTGCAAGCAGGGCCAACACCATCAGCACATGGGAGCAGTGGTGACAGGAGCAGAGTTGTTGGCAGACGGGGGAATGGGGCCATGGCAGGAGGGGCCAGGCAAGACACGGAGCCTGGGCCGAGACCTGACCCTGTGCCCACAGCAGCCTCGTGGCCCACAGTTCCTTTCAATGTGTAAAAATTTGTGCACTGGGCCCCAGTAACCAGTATTTGAAGGGAATTTCTAAGGGTAAGAGAATGAAATTAATATGAGAGACAATGTACTGGATTATAGCATGCTAATAGATATTATAGTAATCATTTATGCCAGTAGGTAATAGAATAATCTAAGATCATAAAATGAATATCTTTACAATGACTAAAGTTTTAAAGGAATACATAGAATAGAAAGCATAATTTTAAAAAAAATTTGGAAAAGAAAGATTTTTTAAATTTACAACAGTCTTTTTAAATGAGAATTATAATGATTAAAATGAACAGTTTAAACAAATGTTGAGAAAATTGGTGATATATATGATCAATCTACACAAATTATTCCAAATACAAATGTAAAATATTAAAGATTAAGATATTATATTTAACACATTTATATTTACTTAATATAATTGATGATTTTATTTACATCAACTTTTCTCTTTAACGTCACTGTGCTACTTTCTTTTTTTCTTTGTTATCTCTTTACTATAACAATTTTTCCTTCTTTTTTCTTTTGCTTTTATATTTATATTAAATACCAGATTTTTTAATTTAAAAATATATATTTTATTGATTTTTTTTTACAGAGAGGAAGCGAAAGAGATAGAGAGATAGAAACATCAATGAGAGAGAAACATCAATCAGCTGCCTCCTGCACACCCTCAACTGGGGATGTGCCTGCAACCAAGGTACATGCCCTTGACAGGAATCCACCTGGGATCCTTCAGTCCTCAGGCCAATGTTCTATCCACTGATCCAAACCGGTTAAGGCAATAACAGATTTTTAAAAAATAATCTTACATTTTATTTTATCAAGTCAGTTAATTAATTTTACCTATTTACTTTGTTAAGAATATGTGAGTAGTACATTTTTGTGAGCTCTTATATTTTTTAAAAAAGGAAAAACTCCTTTCTTAGTAATAACCCTGATTCCACAATATTTTCCCTTCAAAATTTTGAAAGTTTTAGTCCATTTTTCCCCCTTGGTAATTAGTGTGACAAAGAATGAGACAGAGGCAACACTAATTTTATTCCTTCTTTTGTTAAGTGTTTCTGCCGAATGGATGCTGATAGAATATTTTATTTAAACAGACATTCCTGTTTTTCATGTTATGTCTTTTCTTTTTCATAAATTTTGCCTAGTAATCACTCAGTACTTTCTAACTCAAGGTTTTAATCAGCATCAGAAAACTAAGTTTCACTATGCCTTTGATTAATCCTCTTGTGGCTGCTTGAATATCTTCTTGGATTGTACTTTTAATTATTAGGTTACATCACTTCAAATGGTTTCTTTTCATCCCTTTGTCCCTTTTCATCTCAGTTTATCATTTTTGTATCTCAGTCCGTTCTTTCTTTTTTTATTTTATTTTTAATTACAGTTCACATTCAATATTATCTTATATTTCATCCTGTTGTCCTTTCATCTTCTCATGTTCTATTCCGATTGTCTGTTTCTTGGAAATTTTCCTTCCTGGATACTACTAAACTTACAAAATAGAATTCTCTGATATTCTTCAGGTAAATATAATTCTCACTATGTGAAAGCCAGGTGACCCATTTCTCCATTTCTAGCCTTACATCTTTTTAAAAAAAATATATTTTATTGATTTTTTTACAGAGAAGAAAGGAGAGGGATAGAGAGTTAGAAACATAGATGAGAGAGAATCATCGATCAGCTGCCTCCTGCACAGCTCCTACTGGGGATGTTCCTGCAACCCAGGTACATGCCCTTGACCAGAATCGAACCCGGGACCTTCAGTCTGTTCTATCCATTGAGCCAAACCAGTCTTGGCTAGCCTTACATCTTTAAACTAAATAAATAAAGGCCACATGGACTCATGATTACAAATAGAGTGATCTGGGCCCATACCTAGGTTGCACTACTTCATAGGCATAGCTAGTTTGTACAAGTGCTCAATCTCACTCTTCTCACTAATAAATTGAAGATGAGATGGTGAGGAGATTGGATGAAATAATGTACCTAAGGGACCTGGCACATACTAGTTTCTCAATTAATAGTAATGGTTTCTATTCAATGTCTGAAATTGTTTCTCCCTCTTCTGTTTTTTTTTGTTTGTTTTGTTTTTTTATTTTGTTTTGTTTTTTAACTCTGTTTTAGAACTAGATAATAGAAACATTCCCTTCTACTGTTTTTCATTAGGAAAATAAAATAGGAACTTGGATCAGGTTTACTGTTATTCAGCATACCCTATTCAGTGTTAGCATGTCATTTGCAATTTTATTTCTAGCTGGTAGCTCAAGAGTATATATTTGTATTATTGGTGGGGATTTTGTTTCATTTACAAACATCAGGAGAGGAAAAAAGCCACCTATATGGTAAATATAGACTCAAATTTAATTTGTTGGAAAAGGTCAAGTTAATCTTTTTCCTATACTAACAGAATACTTTTAAATACAGAAATTAAAACCTCCATACCACATCTTTGTAATTAACTATATCAAATTCTTTGAAAGCCAGGACTAATTTTGCCTGTTTTATATTGTATATAATACTTTTGGGCTATTACAGCATATAATCATTACCCTTTCTGGATCCACATTTTATTTCTATACTAGAGGTGCACAAAATCCATGCATGGGGAATAGAGGGTCCCTCAGCCCGGCTTGCACCCTCTCGCAATCCAGGATCCCTCGGGGTATGTCCAACTGCCAGTTTAGGCCTGATCTGATCCAGCCTAAACTGAAAATCAGACATCCCTCTCACAATCCAGGACTGCTGGCTCCTAACTGCTCGCCTACCTGCCTCAATGCCCCTAACCACTCTGCCTGCCTCATCGCCCCTAACCACTCACCTGCCTGCCTGATCACCCCTACCCACTATACCTGCCTGCCTGATTACCCCTAACTACCTCTGCCTCAGCCCCCACTGCCATGGCTTCGTCCGGACAGACATCGGAATGATGTCCAGAAGGTCATTCGGCTGTCTGGTCTAATAGTGAATTACACTTTTATTATTATATACTAAAAATGTAATAATATTTTAATGCTAATATTTAAATACAAGACATCTGATTACGTTTTTCAGGCATTTACGTTTCTTAGTTTGCCATCAAGGCAGTTAGAGATATGAGGATCTAACTCACCGGTTGAAGTATAAAGGTACCATGCCTTTTGTTGTGGTAGTGGTGCTTCTATTATGATTTACCTCAGACCCAAAATGTTTCTTATCAGGGTGTGAAGAACAAGGTAGGCATACAGTGACTGGCTTCCGGAAAAGATGTGTGGATGGGTGCTGCACATGAATCAGAGGGCTGGTGGATAGTACCGAGTAGGAAGTATCTTGCTGTGTTCTTAAATATGCCACCAGCGATGGATCAACAGGTTGGATCTAAACAAACAAACAAAAATATATATGGGTTGTCCCCCCCCTAAAAAATGTATACATACTTTAGCAACTGATAATTCAATTTTCACTCCTTTTCAGGTTTAACTGATTTGAAATAATGGGTGAAGCCAGACTAAGCTTTGGACAAAGAAAATTTATCCTAAAGTGCCTTTAGACGTTTCTTTATGGGGAAACATAAAAGATAAAGTTTATGGTACAAAACCAGCAAAAGTCCACAAACAAATACCAAATGAAGTGATTTCTGATTGCAATTCCATTGCTTCACTTTATCAGCATTGCCTCGACCAGAATGGTCATCAGTTTGAAAACAGGTATTAACAAAAATAATTATTCATTTCTATAAATTATCTTATATAATAAAAGGCTGATATGCAAATTGTCCCCACAACCGGGAGTTCAACCAGGGGTCAGTGCCGGCTGGCCAACAGCCTGAAGCCCCTCCCCCATCTAGCCCCACTCCTGATTGCTCCCCCCCCCCACTCTGGGGTGGGGCTTGCCAGGCCACACCCCTCCCTCTGGCTGGCTAGGCTTGATCAGCCCCAATTGTGGTGGGCTGGTAGGATCCCACCTGTGCACGAATTCATGCACTGGGCCTCTAGTTTGTTAATAAACCCTTTATAATCATTCAAAGTGTATATACATTTTGGGGGACACCCTGTGTGCATATATATTCCTGTATTTAATTAACAAAAGATATAAAGTATCAGCATATTTATAAACCAGTTTTCTGAAACTTGGAAGGAATGTAGTTTTAATATATTTCTCTGTATAGTGCTGGCTGAATCAATATTGCATTAATTAATTAATTAATTAATTAATTTTTAAAATATATATTTTTATTGATTTTGTACAGAGAGGAAGGGAGAGAAATAGAGTTAGAAACATTGATGAGAGAGAGTCATTGATCAGCTGCCTCTTGCACACCCCCTACTGGGGATATGCCCGCAACCAAGGTACATGCCCTTGACCGGAATCGAACCCGGGACCCTTCAGTCCCCAAGTTGACGCTCTATCCATTGAGCCAAACTGGTCTCAGCTGCATTAATTTATTTTAAAAAGCACAATAGTTAGTCCCTGTTAACAAAGTCTGTGAAATCTAGGTTCCTTGTCCTTTTTTATAAATAACTGAGAAACACTTTTAATTGTAGGCAACAAAATGACCTAGAAAACAAAATAGGCATTTTACGTAATTTCTAATTAAAGCTATTGTTAGATCAAGTGATCCTTAGGAACTAGAAAAACAAGACTATATTTACTTAAGTGTTTTCTCTCACAGAAGAAAACACTGCTTTAGCTAATAATAGAAATGGCTAACATAATTCTAAAATTTCAAAGCTTATGAAAAATATTTATAAAAATTAATTATTCATAATAGTTTTTATTTAAAGCTTTTCTTCTTTGCTTACCTTTTATGGTAACAACTAGGAGAAATAGAAGAACCTGGAAAGAGTTGAGGGAAAACTGAAGAAATGTATCTTCTAAAATGTACATTGATATTATCATTGCTCACCTTTGTATATATTGAATTCTTTAAAAATTTCTTCCCAAGAATGACTGTCTTATAATTACATATAACCAGACTTTCAAAATTATAAATATTTTAATGGACTAGCTTCTCAGGTGGAAATCTTGAATCATATGAATGTCTAGTGACTGGCATCAATTATATCATGCTCAACATATATTTTTGTTCATAACCATCATAAACAAAACAATACAAAAACTAGCTAGAAAAGAAAAACTTTCAAATAAAGTGATAAAGTGGAGATTCCTTTTGCAGTGAGATTCAATATGTTCTAAACCATCACTTTATTACTAAAAATACTAAAATCGTCACTTTATGACTAAAAGTACCCGAGAAGAATTCATTTAATGTGCTATTATATATTTTGATCTTCATCTTTGAGGACCATGCTTGATGACTCACACAATCTATAAGAAGGAAATCACCAGTTATTAATATTTACCTTTAATTGCACAAGGACGGGTGAGCCGAAAACTCCTGGAGGGTAATGCAGGGATATCCGTGGATCCATGCTTGGCTTGAGAGTGAGGCCTTTCCTTGTGACTGTGAAGGACTCTTTCTTTAAACAGGACATGACAGAAAAGATCCCCAACTTATAAACTTTCACTTCAGCACAGGTCCCCTGTGTGGATTGAAGGGGCATTAAGACAAGGACATTAGCACAGCACTCTTCTCACATGCTCTGTGGCTATGAAAAAAAATCTGCTGGCTATCCCTATAATCGCCCACAACTGAACATAGGTAACCAGGAATTTCTCAACTTTGAGCTACATAACAGAAAAGAAAAGATGTCAGTCTATTTTTTAATTCAAAATAAATTTCAAAAAGGAGATATATAGGTACAATGAGCAATCACATTCAGTATTTTTAACAAAGATTAATTATTTCTGGAATCCCATCCTCCTTAAGTTCACCAGAATGGACTTTAAATATTGGCCTTTATCCAGAAGATTCAGCCCTGCTTTAGGACTGAAATTTCATTGGGTAGTTTCCATACACATTATAGAACCTGTACTGTCAGCAGATTCTTCCTTCAGACAGCTGACAATTCTTTAGTAAAGTCATTTTCTCCATGTCTGTCCTCCATGCAGTAGGAGCAGTTGACTTACAAAGAGACATTTATGTTTCATTTTTTATATAGTGATATTCAAATTTCAAGCCTTTTTTATCACATAAAAGGAGCTGTGCATAAATGAAAACAGAATTATCTACACATATAATCTCCAGTGCTTAGAATGAGACGGAAGACTTAGAAGCAATTTGATCTATTCATGCTTTCCTGAGCACCAGCGGGGCTCCGCCCTGGTATGAGCAGATGATCACGCAGACACACAAACATTTCAGGGACAATCACAATGCAAACTAATCCGTCATTTGAAAACTGACTAAGGAGAATATTTCGCAATAACACTGCATGACTCCTTCTCTGGGAAAATTCAGGGCATGCTGAATGTCCCTAATTGACTGGAGGGAAAATGGAGAGAGGTAAGATCGTGTTCTGGGAACCAGTGGTGGTTGGCCTGTATCTTGGGCACATCTGGCAGATGTTGGGAAACGGGAAGGGTTGTTAATCAGGGGAGTGTCATGGAGAGAGCTCTGAGGGCGGTTCATCTGACTCAAGCTGAGTTATTATAGAATTCTTAAATGTCCTATGAACCACGTAAATATTTGGAAGGAATACAGAGTTTAAATTGAATTGAGCTAAAAATAGCGATAACTACAATTAGAATATTCTAAAAAGTATATGCTTTTATTTTTTTCCCCATTAGATAATGGTGTTCTCCTCTCTTTCTCTCTCTCTCTCTCTCTCTCTCTCTCTCCTCCCCCCCCCCCCCGCCACCTTATTCATTTGCTAAACATCTTGTGTACCCACTTTGTGAAAAGCACCTGCACCTGAGCACTTTTTGCTTCTATGTCAGGCAGAATGGCCAAGACTAAAAGACCCCAATCAAGAGCTGTTATGCTTACAGGCTTCCTAGACTAAATATATCATGCATTAGTTACATAAATTGGAGTAAATAATGAGAACAGGCTTAGCCTTCATATTTAACTGTATAACCTTATTTGTAAATCAGAAAAGACCAAACCAGAAAAAGCAGAGATGTGAAATTCAAAAGAATTTCTTGTATACATGGAATGTTTTCACATTTATGTCCTGTCCTCCTCTTCAAATAATGACAATTTACATAAAGTAAAAAAAGACAAATATTTAAATTGTTTCAAAGTAAGTTCACTGGCCCACAGAAGTACCTTACATTTTTGTTCCCATCAAATCTTTGCAAAGTTTAGTAATTGTGTATATTCTTTCTTCAAAATATCTGTATTTGTAACCATAGCGTTCCTCAAAATTATACAGTAAAGTGTATCATGGGGAAAAATGATCATTTTTAACTGCTAGCATTTATTTTTAGGCTTCCTTTTATCTTTTTAAGTATACAATAGTTTTTCATTGTGTCCTTATGACCCTATTAGGTAGATGCTATTATTTGTTCATTTTTCAGATGAAGAAGTTGAGTCATCACAAGGTTACATAATTTACCAAAGTTCACATAGCAAGAAAATATATGAACCACATTTGAATCCTTCACAATCCACATCCTAACAACCACATATAATGTCTTTCATGTATGAACTAAACACAATTTATAGACTTAATAGTTATCTCAAAGCATAAACACACACACGCACACACATTAAAAGTTGTTCATTTTAACATATTTTCCAACTCATGAGTGATAAAACTATTAGCATCTGGGAACTCTAAGATTCTTAAATTTTGCAGAGATCCATCACAGTGAACATGTTCGTCTAAAGCCCCACTGGCATGGCTCAGGGGTTGAATGTTGGTCTATGAACCAGAGGTCACAGTTTGATTCTCAGTCAGAGCACATGCCCAGGTTGCGGGCTTGATTCCCAGTGTGGAGCATGTAGGAGGCAGCCAATCAATGATTCTCTCTCATCACTGATGTTTCTATCCCTTTCCCTTCCTCTCTGAAATCAATAAAAATATGTGTTTTTTAAATGTTAGTCTAACGCTAGTCTAATAAAGACGTGAAGTTAACTAAGCCATGGTGTTGGTTTTGTTAACCATGTAAAAACATTTCCTGTGTCTTAGGCCCAAACTCTCCATCCCTCAATTTGGCCAATGATTTCTGTTCTTTGATCGTTGTGACCTTAGAGATCCTCAGAATTATATAATAAATAAATAATAAAGTGTGCCATGGAAAAATTATAATTTTATCTCCTAGCATGTATAATTTCTGTTCTTTCTGATCTTTGCGGCAAAAAAAAAAAATAAATAAAAGAGTAAATGCACTAGAACAACTCTATGAGCCCTTTCATTTGTTACTAATGAGTAATGTTATCTATTCTACAATCTGGTAGTGTAAGCAATGTTTAGAGGAGGAGCCAAACAGCAAGTGCAGATGTAGCCAATGATTTACCAACCTTGTAACTTCCTCTCATTCCTTCAAGGGAATTTGGGGTTAGGTAACTGGACTGAAGGTTTATGTCAGACATTTTCACCAGGATGTCTCTGTAATTCCCCCTGTAATGTGTGGTAAAGGGAATTGCAATGCATATTGGGAATGGAATCCTCATCTCCATCTCTGAACACTCAATAGTGATCACATTGCTGACCAACTCTTCGTTATCACTCACTACTAAGGAACTCATGCTGTTAGTTATTCGGCATTCTAGGTGTTGTAGAAGGTATGAAGGCGCTGTGATGTAACAAGATACTTGAGGGCCCCTCTCATCACTCAGCACATCAAGATACCTGCAGGGGTGAGAAAGGACAGAGTTTTTGGAAATATTTGATTTATGTATTGTATGGTACATATATAAGAGCCAGAGCTCTAGGGACACATTTTTTTTTTTTTTTTTTTTTTGTGAATACAAGTTCTCTGACTTACTGATGCTGTGACCTTGGGCAATATACCCAACCTCTCTGTGCCTCAGTTTCCTCAACTATAACATGATATTAAAATAATAACTGATTTCATAGGAGGCTGTGAAGATTAAATGAACTATTGTATGTTTAGTAATGGAAAAGTTGTGCCTAGCCCTGGCCAGTGTTGCTTAGTTGGTTGGGCATTATCCCAAGTACCGAAAGGTTGCCCTTTGGATACCCAGTAGGGGGGTGTGTTGGAGGCAGCAGATTAAAATATTGTTACTATTTTCATTGGTATTATTATTTAAGTGATTGATTCATCCCTCAGTTTTGTTCATGTCACAATATGAATCTGAAGATTGCTGAAGCTTCTTGATAAATCAAATACTAACACCTGAGTAGTTTCTTAAGTTATGAGGGGAGTAAATGTATATCTGGTATAGGAATTGTCTGAACACATGAGATTAAATTATGATGTTAATTCCATTTCTTAGAAAAACTGAGAGAAGTACAAAAGTACTGTGAATTTATGACTAATCAAGGTAATCAGAAACAGAAACAGAATATTTAAAATCCTCAAAGAATGAATCCAAAAGCATATTTTGACAGAAAGTTTATTTTAACATGTGTGTTACTCTTACTTTTATACCTTCACCTTAGCCAAAGATTTTAGAGTCTTATAGACTCAAATTCAAATTTTAGATCAGTCACTTGCTATATGTTTGATCTTAAACACCAATAATTAATATTAAAATTGTTTTTTCTATGGGCTAGGTATTAGGATGTACATTATTTCATTTAATCCTCAAACTATGAGGTCAGGTAGGTATATCATCACCCTCTATCCTATATTATAAAGAGGTAATATGCAAATTGACTGCCATGCCCTCACACAAGATGCCCACTCCCATGTGGTCGCAAGATGGCTGTCACAAGATGGCCAGCAGAGGAGGGCAGTTGGTGGGAGGGACCAGGCCTGCAGGGGAGAGAGGGCAGCTAGGGGTGACAAGGCCAGCAGGGGAGGGCAGTTAGAGGTGATCAGGCTGGCAGGTGAGAGCAGTAGGGGGTAGCAAGTCTGCAGGGGAGAGCAGTTAGGAGTGAGCAGACCAGCAGGGGAGGGCAGTTGGGGGCAACCATGCCTTTAGGGGAGGGCAATTAGGGGTGACTAGGCCTTTAAGGGAGGGCAGTTGGGGGGATAAGGCCTGCAAGGGAAGGCAATTGAGAGCAATTGGGCCAGCAGGGAAGCAGTTAGGTGTCAATCAGGCTGGCAGGGGAGTGGTTAGGGGGTGATCAGGCTGGTAGGCAGAAGCAGTTAGGAGCAATTAGGCAAATAGGCAGGCGAGCAGTTGGGAGCCAGCAGTCCTGGATTGTGAGAGGGATATCTGACTGCCAGTTTAGGCCTGATCCCTGTGGACATCTAAACTGGCAGTTGGGCATCTTCTGAGAGGTCCCAGATCAGAGAGGGTGCAGGCTGGGCTAAGGGACACCCCACCCCCCACCCCCGGTAGTACACGAATTTCATGCACTGAGCCTCTAGTATATGTATAAAAGCCTAAGTGACCCTTACAATTAGACAACTGGCCAGTAGCTATGACATGCACTGACCACCAGGAGGCAGATGCTCAATGCAGGAACTGATCCCTGGTGGTCAGTGCACCAACACAGCCAACCTCCTGCAGTCTCTCCCTGCCCAACTGTCTCCCATCAGCCCAACTGGCCCAATTGCTGGTCTGACAGAGGTAGCCCATCCATACACAAATCAGGCCTCTAGTTTTATAAATAAGGAAGTGAGGTCTAAAATTTTTAACTTCCTGAAGATTACACTGAGGGTAAGCTGTAGAATCAATAATTTAACCCATTCATTTTTAACACAAAAGCTCAAACTTTCTAATATAATATCATATTTCCTCAAATCATTTAGAAGTCCTGAGATTTTTGTGCTTTACATACTGAAACTAATATCTAATCACAATAGTGTGAAGATTAAATGAAATAAAATTGAAATATTAGATAAATTAGAGGAGCTATATAAATATAACATTAATAATCAGTTTTAAGAGAAACACACACTAGCCAGAAACCTATATGCTCATGTTGACCAATATCACCCCAAGAAATTTAATTAAAAATAATCAGTTTTAGAATTACCAGGTCTTAACTATTTTTCAGTTCTTAGTAACTTAAATTTTATAGTGTATTTGAACATAGACATCTAAAAACATATGTTGAAATTGCAGAGAGGATTATTTATTTGCATTTATAATTCTGAGTCCATAAAGCTAGAAGACGTAGAAAATTACCTAGCTCATTGGTGTATTGATGCTGATTATGGTAATTCAGAAAAAGAGAATCATTGTCTAGTAGGGAATATAATGACCCAGCCTGCAAGAATGACTTCAAAAAGAATGACTTCAAGAATGACTCTCTTCTGTGCCCCAGATGAAGTATAGTGAAGCGACCTGCAAATGCATTCGTTACCCTAACTCTAGTCAAAGAGGCAAGGACCAATCCAGCCTCAAAAATAATCACATGGCTTTGTTCCAGTTTTGTTTTCCTTTCAGTCTGTACATACAAGAAAAGATAGACTTTTTTTTTCCCCAAAAGAAACTATTCAGAGATAAATATTCAGATTATTTGTTAGGTATTGTTGTTTTTTATAACACTCATCTTTTATGTGTCAAGAGTGTTTTTATAACACTCATCTTTTATGTCTTTCATAGGCTGAGAGATTGCAATGAGTAGTCATCTTCTTAAACATGCAAGCCAAGCACTATTGATTTGTAGGCCACAAAGAGGAAACCAGCCACTAGAAAACACCTAAAGGAGTGTGAGAGTGAGTAATTCAGCAATGACTCATTAGCGGATGCTTTGAGTCATTTCAAAATGTGAGGATCCTGAACTGTTAATGTTTTTCTCAAGTGAAATGGGCAGCCACTTTTTGACTACTTCAACAGTTGTTTTTCAGGGGGGCTAATTCTTTCAAACCATGGAGGTCTCTCATGCACTGAATGTTCTGAGACACCTACAGAATGCATTTGATTTTTCAGACCTATGGCGTCCTCACAGCAAAACTAGCTTAACCTCTTCATTTTATAAATGAGATGATTAAAGTCAGTGAGCGGAGTGACTTGCCTGCGATCGTAGACTCACTTGTGGTGTTGTCCTGAACCGGTACCTTGCATCTGAAAGAGCATCACACCTGGTGGCAGTGAGGGGACAAGTGAAGGTTGGTCGTGTTGGGGAGAAAGTGAGGGTTGTTGGGGTGAAATAAATGAACACACTAACATTTAGCTTAGCGTGAACTTCTGCGAAGTAACATGGGGCTAGGACCTTCACATGATTTTCTCATTTGACCTTATTGAGCAATCCCAGAAAATAGATAATTTCCTACAAAAAGGGCTCAGGAATGAAGCAAGTGGCCCAGAGTCACAGAACTAGTTTGTGAAAAAAAAAACAAAAAAACAAAAAAACAAACAAAAAAAAACAAAACAGGAGATAAAATGTAAGTCTGTCTGACTCACAAGCCAGTGATACTTATTTGAATTTTCACTACTCCACATTGCCTGCTAAGGGTGTTATTTTTGCTGGAAAAATGTAGCTTGTGAGTATATTATTTGAACAAATAGGGATAATTACCTAACTTATGTTGGGGGGATAATTCACACACACAAAAAAATCAGTCTAACACACTTTTTGAAATCACAGTTTCTTTGAGAATTTTATGGAAGCTCTAGACCAAGGATTTAATTGGTATGAAAATGTGCATTCAGCCAAAACCGGTTTGGCTCAGTGGATTGAGCATCAGCCTTCAAACTGAAAGGTCTCAGGTTCGATTTCGGTCAAGGGCATGTATCTTGGTTGCGGGCACATCCCCAATAGAGGGTGTGCAGGAGGCAGCTGATCTATGTTTCTCTCTCATTGGTGTTTCTAACTATCTCTCTCCCTTCCTCTCAGTAAAAAATCAATGATATATTTTTAAAAAAATATGCATTCAGTTTTAAGAATCTCCCATAACCCTTCATGATCCCCCTGGAGTTCTGCTGATAGGAATTCATAATTATTTATAAATAAAATAAACCTGAGAATTTACTGAGGAATGTAAATAAACCTGACGTTGGGAAATTCTCTCCTAAATTTTAAACACTTTGCAGCCTCCCATTTTTTTCTTATTATAATTGAAAAAAAATAGTGATTATAATGTGTCTCTATTCTGGCTGATGATACAGTTTAACTACTTCTCAATTCATCAATTTCTTCCTCCTTTAAAAAGTAATACGTTTGTCTCCTAAAGCCATAAGAAACAAGCAATATTAGTAATAGTAGTCATACAAATTTTTATAGAAATATCTTAAGCTGAAGTATTGATTTACAATATCTTTTGGAGAAATTAAATGTAAATATAAAATTTTAATTATATATAAATGCTATCACTGCTAACTACAGAAACACATCTTAATAGGCATATATAAGAATCTCTCACATTGATCACATTTACTTACTCCTTTTCCATTATGTTATCTTTTTGCTTTAGACTCTTTGAATCATTGAGAAGAAGACTATTCACACTTTTATTGGCCATATCGCCTGCTTTTGGGGATGTAGGAGTCTCTTCTCTTTGGTTCTCTGAGCTCTCTTGAATGTCTCTTTCTGTTGTCTGGTTGATGTCAGTCTCTCTCCTGTTGCCATTCGTGTTTTCAGCAGTCACATGTGCCGTTTGTTTATCATCTTCATTTTCTGCATTATCTGGGAACATTTCGTTCTGAGACTCTTCTTGCCCTGTGACATCTCTGTTCACTGATGTATTGCTTTCTTTTTCCACTGATTCCAGGCTCGTGTGTGTTTCATTTTTCTTTAATCCGTCCTGGTGCATGTCATGACTTTCCTCCCCACTTGTGGGAGAAACAGAAGCTGTTTCTATGACATTCTGTTCCCCGCTTGCAGCAATGTCTGTTGCTTTGATATCCTGAATGGCAGGCATTGTCTGCACTGGAGGACACTCATCACGCATGCCGCATAAGTTACACATCTGCTTTTCCTCTTCCTTTAACAGTAGAGCGGTGCTCCCCAAATATCCATTTATTTTCATGAGGCAGTCTATGAAAGTAATGATTTCTGTGCACACATACACACAGAGAAACATATAAAAAGAAGAAATGCAAAACGAAACCAAATTATGTTTCACCACTGACATGTAATGAGTTACGGCAAGATAACCTTAGAAACCCTACAAAGGCCTGGACTGGGCATTCAGCCAATCTCCCTCCTGAGGGAGAAGTCATTTATATGACTGCCATTCTCTTCACACATCTAGGAATGGGAGACAAATTGCTTTTAATCTCGTAGAAAATCAGATCCTTTTTGTTGTGAAAATTCTTTGAATATTGAAGGACATATATTCCAGCCTCCCCATAGACTGTTCAATTGAAGTCAATACCTCCCTTAGCCATGCCTTATTAGGGTAAGATTTTGAGACTTACTCTTTCTCTTTTGGATGTACTATATCAATTATCCATTTATAATTATTTGCCTAAAATTTAGCGAACACTCTAGATGAGACTTAGGTAGAGGTATACCATAGCAATATTATTTCTGTGGGTGTGAATACCATATTGAGTATTTTGTTTGCTGTTATGAGAATTGGATTATGTTGGCACTATTTCTCCTGCTGAGCTTGTGATCTTTGGCAATTTTCAAGTTAGTCTTTCAAAGAATAGCTCCAATTATACTGATTCTCTAATTGGAAGCTGCAGTGGCTATTGAAACACCACTAAACAAAATCAAGTCTCTGCAGTCTAGTGTATACCCTCATCATGATCCCTGTTGCTTACCATTCTCCTTTTCACTTCTCTCCTAAGAGTGGGGTCACCTGACACCTTCTAGCAGTCTTAGTAACTCTCCAGTCTTCAGTCTTCAGAATTCAATTCTGAAGTATAGAATCTGTTATGTAAGACCCCATAGCTCTGTGTTTTCAGAATCATCAATAAATCATCTTTTTTCTAGTCTGAACTTAACTTTGGGATTCAGTTCTGGACAACTTGTTTTTTTTTGTTTTGTTTGTTTGTTTACTTGTTTTTTTTGTCTTGTATCTGAGACCGTGTGTTTATTTTGAATTTCTTTTCTAATAGCTGAGTCCTTATCATTTTCTAAGAATAACAATTTGACTTAATATGTTGCCTAGGAGCACATTGAGTTCTCTGCAGAGATTTGAATCCTGGCTATGAGTTCCAGCTGATAGGCTCTGGGTCAGTTATCTTTGGACAGATTTTTTTCAGAGGCCAACCATTGCCCTTCAGACTGAATTTCTTAACATTATTGGCCCTAGATTCCTGAGTGATAAGACCTGCCCACTTGTCTTGACACTATATGATTCAGCATTGGATTTCATAGCCCTTCCATCTTTTAATCTAGAGTAATTATTGTTATCTGAGGTCATATTCGTCATTCCTGCTGTACTATACTTCTCAGCATCCATAACTGGGCCTATTCCCAGGAATATGAACACAAAGGGAGAGGAGAGAATCCAATTTCACAACCCAGATCACCCTAGCCTTTCCAATTTTTTTCAACTGAAAGTTCAAACTCAAATAAGCCTAAAAATAGAGTATCACATTCCAATGTAGAAAAATGGCTTGTTCTTCCTCAAGGTAAGCCTATATTTTCTTACTTATGAGTCTTGGATCCTGTTGATAATATCTCTGACTGGAATGCTCTTTCTTTTTTTTTCTTTTTTTTAATTTAAAGTGATGTACTTTTTAAAAAAATGTATTTTTTAGTCCTTTCCTGAGGATATATTTCAATTGATTTTTTTTAAAGGAGAGATAGTGGAAGAGAGAGGGAAAGACATAGAGAAACATTGATGTGAAAGAACTATTGACTGGTTCCTCACCCCTGTATACGTCCTGATTAGAGCCTGGACCCAGGAGGAGCCTGCTACAGAGGTACATGTCCTTGACCAGAATCAAGCCTAGGACCCCTCAGTCCACAGGCTGATGCTCTATTCTCTGAGCCAAACTGGCAGGCTGCCTGGAATGCTCCTTCAAGATTCCCATTTCTGTTCCTTAGGCTTCAGTTTAAATATAACATTTATTTAGGGACATTCCCAAATCCTCACTCTAAAAATGGGACCTCACCTGCTTCTGTAATCTTAACACACTTTATTTGTATGTTTCAAATGGAACTGGCCTCAACTTTCCTTGCATTTTGAGGGATTGTCTATCTAGTTTTACCCCTCCCCCCCATCCCCCATTATGTTGTTTGTCCCTTGTGGACAGAGTCTCTATCTTAGCCTTCTTTGTATGCCCCTTAACCCTTCTCAGAGTGGCTACCCAATCAGTATTTCTTACAGAAATCATGAATAAAATGAATACTTGCCTTGTCTCCAGGTACACTGATTCTCCTTGTCAAGCAGGACATGCAGCTGCTGGCAGGTGGAGCACAGTGTGCCTGCTGTGTGCTCCAAGAACTGCCGAAGGGCCCCGCTGAGCTCTTGACCCAGAAAGACCACTGTGGCTGTCCATGTGGCCCCAGCAGCCCCTTCACCGTGGTCATGGCCCAGGAGTGCCTGCTTCAGCATCAGGTTCTGTCTCCAAATCTGCTTCAATAGTTGGCCTAGTTTATCTGAGCCCATACCTTCTGTATCCATTTTATGCTCCAAGAGGGGGAATGCTTCTTTCCTGCCAGCAAAGCCTAAAGGTTTAGCAAATTCAAACTTGGCAATGGTGATTTCTCCTAAAATCTAGGAGGTGATCCAAGTCAGCTAGCCAAGCACTTGTACGACACATAATAGTTTATTCAGCTCCTTGTTGACCAGGGTGATGTTACTAGGTGACCAAAGGAGGGGCGTTCTGCACCCTGGGTGCCATTGTGTACGGAATAGATTAAATCACAGGGATGGAACTAGCTCACACAACCCCCTTCTCCATGGAAGTTTCACACATTCAGAGCCCATAGACTTCAAGGTTCAAGGAAACAAAATACAGATTCCATGGAAAGATGAGAAGTTTATTATAAAGGTAACTTGTTTGAACAATACTGCTAACAAGATTCTTACATGATACTTAAAAATGCTTAGGAATGAAATAATATGGTGTTTTAATTTCTTCAGTCTAATCTGGGAGTGTGGGGGTGGTGTATAGATGAAATAAGACTGGCTATAAGTTAATCATTGTTGAACCTGGATAAGATTACATGTGGGGCCCTTCTAATTAGAATATATTTATAATTTTTAAATAATGAGTAACTTAAAAAAATATTCCTTTGCCGGGGCAGAGTCTATGACCATTGAATAGGTAAGTTTAATTAGTACCTTCGCCTATACACATCTACTATCAGATCGAGGTAGATCCTTGGCTTCTTTACTCTCTGATAATTTCCCTCTAAGTGGATAAAATGCCCCCTCACTAAAATAAAGCCAACCTTAAAAGTGGCTTTCTCTGAACTAACAAGGAGTCTTCACCATGTTTAGTAGATTAAAATTCAGATTCCATAAGTTCTCACCACACTGGCCCCAAAGTTGGCACATTGGATGTGATGATACTGGGGAGGGGACAACCTGGGGATTTGCAGAGGAACCCAGAGCACCCTGCTTCCTCCTTTCCAACCCCACTTCTCTAAGCAGGGGGAACACAGAGCCTAGGGAGAGGGCCATGCATCTCAGACAGGCTCCCTTCTCTCAGAGGCACGGGAAGGAAATGGAAGCTCCCAAAAGAAGCTGGAATGCTTCCTCCCGCAGGCAGTACGTTATCTCATCTGAGGCACCGGAGTTCTTAAGGGCTACACTCAGGACACCTGGAACACAAGATGGGGAAACTCGAACCTAGTGCCTAAAGAATAAGAATGCATGCCACAGGTCTAAGTACTACCCCAACTGTTGTGGGAAGAGCCCTAAAGAAAAGGGAAGGAGCAGTATGAGGACTGGTGGCCAGAATTCTCTAGGAGAAATCAGACTTTTAAGTGACTTGATTCATTCATGATATCATTCATCCATATCACATCATGAATCACATTGTTTTAATACGTTTCACTCTCTTTCCAATACAAAAGGCTTTCTGGTTCAATTTTCTTTTTAACTCCTGAAATACGTGTGACTCTCAATAATAAATGCATACATGGCTTTAATTTGATGCCAGTTCTGAAAATTTTCTATATCATTTACTGTATCTAATCGCTGGGAATAGGGCTTGTTAGGACTTTGGAGAGAGACAGAGACATGAACAAATTATTAAAATACAGCTTAGGCTATGTTGAAAGCTAGAGCAGAAGTATGAATAAACAGAACCATACTAGTAAGAGCTTTGAGGAGTAAAGCATGAGTTCCGATTAGAAGCCTGGGAGATGTTTGAATTAGGAGCTAAAGGATGGTCAGGATGTGAGCATGCCAGACAAGGGAGTGAAGAAACACTCCGGCATAGGAAACATGATCGAAGGCATGGGGGCACGAAATGTCAGTGGGATCAAATAGGGGAAAGTGTGGCTTTAGAGGAGGGTTCAGTCAAGGAGTTGGGGAAGTGGCGAGAGCACAGTGTACTAATTCTGGGGAGTCAAGAGAAGTTGGAAATTCCTTTTGCAGAGAGAGAGAGAGAGAGAGAGAGAAACTAAATATTCTTGGACCAAGTTAAAATATGATCAAACCTTTGCTGGAGGAATGCAAGTGGTTTAGATAGTTAATTGAAGAGCATTGAGGGCTATATGAGACCAGCAGCAGTGCAGGCCAGGAAACGGGATGCTTTGAGAGGGGATTTGAAGCAGAGTGAATAGAATTTGCTGACCCACTGGTGAGAGGGAGGTGAATAGAAAGCATTGAAAATCCATCCTTTCATTTATTTGAGAAACCGTTATTGGTTGCTGGTGCAAAAATTGTACTGGTAGTGGACTATAACTACAATTTTTAGTTTAGGTGGCTGAACAGATGGTAAAACAAATAATTGAAGTAAGGCGTTTAGAAAAAAGAGGCTTAGTTGGTAGATAATTTGATTTATTTTGGGTTTGTTGAATTTGAGATAACTCAGGAAAAATTTTTGGAATGTGTTAGAAATTTAGAAGTAAAGTCAGAATATTGGCCTATTGACTGTCATCAGTGATGGTTGGAGAATGATCCCTACAAGTGGAAGAGACCATTGGAGATCATTTTAAGCATCGCATAAAGGTCATAAGAAAATGCTAAATCACTGAACCAATGTACATTTTTCCCCCTTTACATATGTAGAAAAGTTCTTTCTCAGGGCAGGTTAAAAAACAATCCAAACTATTTCTCCCTAGCCTCATTGACATTCATTCTTCTCAAGTCTAAACTTGTTCTCTGTCTGGCTTCCCAAGAACATGTAACATTTGCAAAGTGAGACCTTCCACAAGCCACGCTGCATCTACTTGTTAAAACAGGCATCTGTATGCTCCTGCATCTTGTTTTTCAATCAACTGATGTCACTAACCACGGAAAGAACCAACATTTGCAAGCAACATTTATAACACCCACAGAAGTTGTTTGAAAAAATTTATCTTGATAGATTTAACACTTGATTAACACCTTCACTGTGGCTATTAGTTAGTATGAGCTTTAAACCTTTCTTATATTTTTTTTAAACTAAGAATTTTGTTCTTCCACTAACATTAAAGGAATTAGTATGCAGTCTTGAATATACGATATGTTATGTAGTTAAAAAGACAACTGTTCTTTTTGATATTAAAAGCAAAATGAATAGAGACCAAATTCAAGTAAGTTGGATAGTTGCTTGTTTATCCTCTCAGGTAGAAGATGAGTGGGATAACTCAACACAGGAAGAGAAAAACCTATCAGCAGTGAAAGTTTTAGTGTCCCTCCCCCATCCCCCATCCCAAAGAGCTTGCCCTGACCCTGCTAGATATGAACAAGGAAGGACTGAATCATAAACCCAATCTAGGTATATGAACTTCCAATACCTCATTTTCATGTATAAGATCACAGTCAAGGAGGGCAGGCACTAGAGAGTAAAGAAACATAAATAAAAGACTTGAAAAAAAAATAGAGGCAACACAAGGAAGAGTAGAAAAAATCATATAAATCTACAATTGACATTCTTAGAGTAATGCTCCCACAAAGTAAACAACTTTCTAAAAAAGGGAGCTTTCAAACAATAAGAAAGACCACACTGAAATTAAAATATGATAACATACTTTTTATATATATATTTTATTGATTTTTTACAGAGAGGAAGAGAGAGAGATAGAGAGCTAGAAACATCTATGAGAGAGAAACATTGACCAGCTGCCTCTTGCACACCCCCTACTGGGAATATGCCCACAACCAACGTACATGCCCCTGACCAGAATCGAACCTGGGACCTTTCAGTCCGCAGACCGACACTCTACCACTGAGCCAAACCGGTTTCAACGATAACATACATTTTTAAAACTGGTGTAAGGGTAGGAAGAAGCAGTTGAGTTCTCCCAGAAGGTCAAACAAAAAGACAAAGAGATGATAGGGGGAAAAGAAGGTTAAAAATATTAATGGTTCAATGCAGGTGGTCGATTAGTATGAGAGAGAGGACAGAATAAAAGAAATAGTATTAAAAGTTTCCCAGAATAGAAGGACCTGAAATCGCAGACTGTAAGGCCCAGAACAATACATGCAAAGAAAGAAAACAACAACAACTGTATAACTGGTCATAGTATCATGAGCATTCAAAATACCAAGGACAACAGGGGTCCTCATAGCCTCCCAAAGGGGAGGAAAAAAGTCACACTTAATGAGTAGGCATTTGATGTCTCAACAACCACCACTGAGACCTAGAATAAAATAGAGTTGTGACTTCAATATTCTGAGGGAAACCTCTTTAGAATTTAGAATTCCGACTCCCCCAAAGTCTCATTCAATTACATGGGCTTCCTGTGTGTCTTTTCTTGAATAGCCATTAAGGGATATACTCTAACAAAAGCAACAGAGAATAGAAAATCCAGCAAAGGAGAGACAACTCAGATGCCTAAAATGAAGTCATAGGTGACAATGATGCCATAGGCCTCAAGAGCTCTAGCACAGGTCATAGCAGCCACTTGAGCAGCCCAGGAGGCTGGAGAACTATCCGATGTTCAACCATTTTAAGAGAATGTTTGCAATCCCATTGGAGATTTCTGGGAAGAATTATTGATAACTGAGCAAATGCTCATTTTATTAAATGAGATAACTGGTCAACTAAATTCTAAAGGAAAGGGGTTGCTTTGAGAGGGAATCTATAGTCATAGCATACTACCCTTGCTATGCATAATATTTACATAGCCATAATGACAAAATATTTATAATCACTTTAACTAAAACTGGTTATATAAGTCCATTACCAGGACCTGTGGCCTTTTGTTGTGTATGTGGAGAATGAGTATAGTAGTCTGGGTATGAGAGTAAAAGGCTTATTTCTACAAAGGAAAGCCACTCCTGACCTCTAGGAACTAGTCCAGAGCTATCTGCTAGGCCATGGTGTCCACCTGTCAAACATGAAGAATTTCACAAAACATCAACATTAGACAAAGCCACTCAGTGACCATGATTGATCAAGGCAAAATGAAAACCACTCCATAATCATATGCAAACACAGACAAAATATGAACACTGTCCAAGCCACAAAATACCAAACATAGCTTCCTCTTCCAGTTATGTGAGTGAGGACTGCTTTCTAC